AAGAAAAATAGACATTCACAATTGACTGAGAAAGCACAGATTGAAACACATAAATGGGCTTTGGAGGCAAGACTTGACATCTGCAAACTTGTAAATCAGATGCTAGACGCTACCGAAGGATTGTTTTGGACGTAGAGAAGTAGCAGAATGCATAAAACGGATCCTGCCACTTTGACTGGAACTGAGTCAAGTCATTCAACCGGGCAATACAACAGACTCATCTTCGATGGCATGACTCGGATTCGGACGGGAGGTATGAGTGCGATTGGCAATTGCGGCAACTTGAAACGAGGTGGTGGACAGCAGAGCTACAGCAAACTGATATGGCCCCAAAGTGCACACCTCTGCGGGGGTGGAATGGGAAAATGGGAAAAAGGTGAAAAGATGTGATTGTATGGCAGTGAGATACGAGGTTGTGTAGGAGGGATGCGACACTATTTGTCTCGAATAACGACGCTGATGAGTCCGACTAAAAGTACCAAGTCAACGAGTCGATGCTGGCAGTCATCACAACCGCAATAGTAGAGAATTTATGACAAATCATCTTCAAATGGGTCGCTATGACTACACGACCAAGTTGCCAAACGGCCCGTTGAAACGACACAAAATCACTTTAGCTAAAAGAGAGTAAAGTGTTGTTGTGGCCGAAACAACCGTTTGCCATGCTCACGATAACGAGCATATTCCTTGAATCGGGTACGTCTTGACAGGCGTACAAATCGACCATCATTTTCATGTCTCCTCAACCGTTTGACGGCCTGCATCCAACATGGGTCGCCATGACAACAAAACCAAGTTGCGCAAACGAGGTCAGACCAACACAAAACCGTCACACAAAAGACCCCATTCCACCGTTGTCTTCATTGCTACTCTCGGGGATTCTTGAAAATAATGTTGTGAATTGTCAAATCATACGCTTCATATATTGAGACATTTTAACATTCGGCAAATACACGCTCCTCCACATTGCCAAGAGTGCTCTTGGCTGACATGGAAAATGTGAATTGCACATTCAACTCAAATCACATGATTATGGGAAAATTGCTAATCCTATACGAAATGGAGGGTGTACATTTCATATAATTGATTTAAATATAAACGAACTCTGGCCAGCATGTATTAGTGCAGTTAAATGAGTGGAATGGTAGAAATCAAGACCAAAAATGCATGTCTGACCCCGTTGTTGTAACATTTTCCTGTTGCCAGGGCGACCCATTGGTATATTCTGCTAGGCTCTAGTGGCAGGGAGACAGACAATTGCTTGCTCCACGTAACAGGTCAACTACGAAGATCGAACCATCACGACGTAGAGTACGTCGAAAACGCATCAAAGACACAAAATAATGTGGCAAGATGGAAAACGATTGTTTATAGGCTTGTTGTAGACAAAAAGTTATTTACGCGGCCGCAGTCGTTTCAGAACTATGAAATGGCGACAAAGTTGCTTGTTGCCTTAGCTACTAGATTGCAAGACAAATTTTGGTGAAGATTACTGTTGATAGGTCTACACAGCGGCGAGTAGACGCTGTTCGGCCGGAAATCTCGCCCATCTCGAGGTTACGGGAATAGGAAGCTGTTTGGGCCAGATTCGTTGGCAGGCAGCCGAAGGATACGGTCGATCCCAAAGAACGTGTTGATGTGCATTCTTCTACCGGCCTTGACAACTTTGATTCAGCCATGTCCAGTTCACAAAGGTAGACACATCAACTGTCTCACGATCTGTACTTCACCTTTTAAAGAATGCAATCATACACTCGACAACATATCAAATGGAGGAGCAAAGTGGTTTGACCTCGTTTCCGCAACTTGGTCGACTGCGACAAAAATGGACACCAGAAAATCGTGCTCTTCATGTCTGCAAAAAGGAAGGTTTCTAAGAACCTTTGGTCGAATTGAAAACTTCGATGGAGATGATAGAAGATATGTGGTTTCTGTTTTGGCCATCATCTCGTTCGATGTGTACACGCTGTCTGAACTCGCTTTCGCAACTTGGTTGCGTTGTCACGGCGACCTAGTTGACCGCATCTTCACAAATATTCTCCGTCATAGTAGTTGAGAAAACTACAGGAGTCTTCATATTATTCATTTTTCTTGTGTTTTTTTCTTCGTGTGA